GGTCGTGCCTGTTAGACAAGCTTTTTCTTACTGAACGACACCTCCAGCCAGTTAGAATGCTTTACGTAGATGGTTCTCTTCTAGAGTTTAGTGTGTGTCTGGGTGTGTATTCTAGCTTGGAGGGTCGCGCCTGTTAGACAAGCTTTTTCTTACTGAACGACGCCTCCAGCCAGTTAGAATGCTTTACGTAGATGGTTCTCTTCTAGAGTTTAGTGTGTGTCTGGGTGTGTATTCTAGCTTGGAGGGTCGCGCCTGTTAGACAAGCTTTTTCTTACTGAACGACACCTCCAGCCAGTTAGAATGCTTTACGTAGATGGTTCTCTTCTAGAGTTTAGTGTGTGTCTGGGTGTGTATTCTAACTTGGAGGGTCGTGCCTGTTAGACAAGCTTTTTCTTACTGAACGACACCTCCAGCCAGTTAGAATGCTTTACGTAGATGGTTCTCTTCTAGAGTTTAGTGTGTGTCTGGGTGTGTATTCTAACTTGGAGGGTCGTGCCTGTTAGACAAGCTTTTTCTTACTGAACGACACCTCCAGCCAGTTAGAATGCTTTACGTAGATGGTTCTCTTCTAGAGTTTAGTGTGTGTCTGGGTGTGTATTCTAGCTTGGAGGGTCGTGCCTGTTAGACAAGCTTTTTCTTACTGAACGACACCTCCAGCCAGTTAGAATGCTTTACGTAGATGGTTCTCTTCTAGAGTTTAGTGTGTGTCTGGGTGTGTATTCTAACTTGGAGGGTCGTGCCTGTTAGACAAGCTTTTTCTTACTGAACGACACCTCCAGCCAGTTAGAATGCTTTACGTAGATGGTTCTCTTCTAGAGTTTAGTGTGTGTCTGGGTGTGTATTCTAACTTGGAGGGTCGTGCCTGTTAGACAAGCTTTTTCTTACTGAACGACACCTCCAGCCAGTTAGAATGCTTTACGTAGATGGTTCTCTTCTAGAGTTTAGTGTGTGTCTGGGTGTGTATTCTAACTTGGAGGGTCGTGCCTGTTAGACAAGCTTTTTCTTACTGAACGACACCTCCAGCCAGTTAGAATGCTTTACGTAGATGGTTCTCTTCTAGAGTTTAGTGTGTGTCTGGGTGTGTATTCTAACTTGGAGGGTCGTGCCTGTTAGACAAGCTTTTTCTTACTGAACGACACCTCCAGCCAGTTAGAATGCTTTACGTAGATGGTTCTCTTCTAGAGTTTAGTGTGTGTCTGGGTGTGTATTCTAGCTTGGAGGGTCGCGCCTGTTAGACAAGCTTTTTCTTACTGAACGACACCTCCAGCCAGTTAGAATGCTTTACGTAGATGGTTCTCTTCTAGAGTTTAGTGTGTGTCTGGGTGTGTATTCTAGCTTGGAGGGTCGCGCCTGTTAGACAAGCTTTTTCTTACTGAACGACACCTCCAGCCAGTTAGAATGCTTTACGTAGATGGTTCTCTTCTAGAGTTTAGTGTGTGTCTGGGTGTGTATTCTAACTTGGAGGGTCGTGCCTGTTAGACAAGCTTTTTCTTACTGAACGACACCTCCAGCCAGTTAGAATGCTTTACGTAGATGGTTCTCTTCTAGAGTTTAGTGTGTGTCTGGGTGTGTATTCTAACTTGGAGGGTCGTGCCTGTTAGACAAGCTTTTTCTTACTGAACGACACCTCCAGCCAGTTAGAATGCTTTACGTAGATGGTTCTCTTCTAGAGTTTAGTGTGTGTCTGGGTGTGTATTCTAGCTTGGAGGGTCGTGCCTGTTAGACAAGCTTTTTCTTACTGAACGACACCTCCAGCCAGTTAGAATGCTTTACGTAGATGGTTCTCTTCTAGAGTTTAGTGTGTGTCTGGGTGTGTATTCTAACTTGGAGGGTCGTGCCTGTTAGACAAGCTTTTTCTTACTGAACGACACCTCCAGCCAGTTAGAATGCTTTACGTAGATGGTTCTCTTCTAGAGTTTAGTGTGTGTCTGGGTGTGTATTCTAACTTGGAGGGTCGTGCCTGTTAGACAAGCTTTTTCTTACTGAACGACACCTCCAGCCAGTTAGAATGCTTTACGTAGATGGTTCTCTTCTAGAGTTTAGTGTGTGTCTGGGTGTGTATTCTAACTTGGAGGGTCGTGCCTGTTAGACAAGCTTTTTCTTACTGAACGACACCTCCAGCCAGTTAGAATGCTTTACGTAGATGGTTCTCTTCTAGAGTTTAGTGTGTGTCTGGGTGTGTATTCTAACTTGGAGGGTCGTGCCTGTTAGACAAGCTTTTTCTTACTGAACGACACCTCCAGCCAGTTAGAATGCTTTACGTAGATGGTTCTCTTCTAGAGTTTAGTGTGTGTCTGGGTGTGTATTCTAGCTTGGAGGGTCGCGCCTGTTAGACAAGCTTTTTCTTACTGAACGACGCCTCCAGCCAGTTAGAATGCTTTACGTAGATGGTTCTCTTCTAGAGTTTAGTGTGTGTCTGGGTGTGTATTCTAGCTTGGAGGGTCGCGCCTGTTAGACAAGCTTTTTCTTACTGAACGACACCTCCAGCCAGTTAGAATGCTTTACGTAGATGGTTCTCTTCTAGAGTTTAGTGTGTGTCTGGGTGTGTATTCTAGCTTGGAGGGTCGTGCCTGTTAGACAAGCTTTTTCTTACTGAACGACACCTCCAGCCAGTTAGAATGCTTTACGTAGATGGTTCTCTTCTAGAGTTTAGTGTGTGTCTGGGTGTGTATTCTAGCTTGGAGGGTCGTGCCTGTTAGACAAGCTTTTTCTTACTGAACGACACCTCCAGCCAGTTAGAATGCTTTACGTAGATGGTTCTCTTCTAGAGTTTAGTGTGTGTCTGGGTGTGTATTCTAACTTGGAGGGTCGTGCCTGTTAGACAAGCTTTTTCTTACTGAACGACACCTCCAGCCAGTTAGAATGCTTTACGTAGATGGTTCTCTTCTAGAGTTTAGTGTGTGTCTGGGTGTGTATTCTAACTTGGAGGGTCGTGCCTGTTAGACAAGCTTTTTCTTACTGAACGACACCTCCAGCCAGTTAGAATGCTTTACGTAGATGGTTCTCTTCTAGAGTTTAGTGTGTGTCTGGGTGTGTATTCTAACTTGGAGGGTCGTGCCTGTTAGACAAGCTTTTTCTTACTGAACGACACCTCCAGCCAGTTAGAATGCTTTACGTAGATGGTTCTCTTCTAGAGTTTAGTGTGTGTCTGGGTGTGTATTCTAGCTTGGAGGGTCGCGCCTGTTAGACAAGCTTTTTCTTACTGAACGACACCTCCAGCCAGTTAGAATGCTTTACGTAGATGGTTCTCTTCTAGAGTTTAGTGTGTGTCTGGGTGTGTATTCTAGCTTGGAGGGTCGCGCCTGTTAGACAAGCTTTTTCTTACTGAACGACACCTCCAGCCAGTTAGAATGCTTTACGTAGATGGTTCTCTTCTAGAGTTTAGTGTGTGTCTGGGTGTGTATTCTAACTTGGAGGGTCGTGCCTGTTAGACAAGCTTTTTCTTACTGAACGACACCTCCAGCCAGTTAGAATGCTTTACGTAGATGGTTCTCTTCTAGAGTTTGGGGACCCTGGCAACCACCATGCTGGCTCAGATGTGGACCTGATATTCCAAAGCTCATCCAAAAGTAAGCCATGATATTTCACAAGACTTGGAAATTTAAATAGTCTACCACTGAGTACTGTAGATACCTATAGACCCTGTGTAATTTCAGAAGATCCCTGCAGAGGACTACATCCACACCCACACACATGCATGTATGTGAGGGGGTGGGGGTGGGGATGGAGGGGTTGGGTTGTGGGGGAGCCCTGATGTGATTTCCTGATCAATTGGCCCAGTCTCAGGAACTGTGGTTTCTCTTCCCAGGGGATAGACAGAGGTCATTAAATCAGGGTAGGGGCGGGGACACAATACCAACAGAACTGACTTCAGAAACTTTAGTTAATATTCCATATAATGTGTATATGGCAGTCCTTTTTAAAATTTTTTATTTTATGTTATGTGCATTAGTGTTTTGGGTGTCAGATTCCCTGGAACTGGAGTTCAGACAGTCTGTGAGCTGCCATGCTAGGAATTGAACCCAGGTCCTCTGGAAAAGCAGCCAGCGTTCTTAACCACTGAGCCATCTCTGCACCCCTATAGTCCCTGTTTTAAGTGCCTCACATATACTAATTTAATCTTTACAACAATACTATGAAGCAGCTACTATTATCATCTGTTTTGCAGGTGGTGAAACTGGGGTGGGGGGGAGTTATCAGCCTGGGGCTATACAATTATGTGGTCATAAAAGAAACCTAGAACCCAGCACAGGTTGAAAAGAAATACTTTGAACCAGAGTGTCATTTTCCAACAGTTCTTCCTCAAAATTAGGAAGACAAAGGGCAACTACTCTAAAACAGAAGTCATAATTGCATTTTTAAAAATAACTTATTTATGTATGTGTGAGTATGTGTGCCACGGCATACCACGTGTGGAGGCTGGAAGACAATTGTGAGGAGTCTGTTTTTCCTTCCCCCATGTGAGTCCGGGGATCCAACTCAGGTTATCAGGCGTGGCAGGCAGCAAGCGCGTTTGCCCACTGAGCTTATCTCACTGATCCAGGACAATGTCTCTGACCTCCTATATCCCCTAACTATGTTAGTCCATGTGTGCGAGTTCAGTTGTCTTCCTTTTGTAAAGACTCCTTCCCCCTTCGTACCAAGCAGATAGCACGCATTGGCAAGGATAGGGAGGAAAAGGATGCGTGTGACCCCTGGTGGAAGGCTGCTCACTGCGTTCCTATTACAACTTTGTTCAGGCACTTGCCATTGAAAGGTTGTTTGTTGGTGAGTTTCTAAATCCAGCCCTCATTCCCCTCCAACACAGCTCAACAGCGCCACCTGCCACACACTCTGCTCACCCCGAGCTTCCCGGTCTGAAAGGAAAAGGGAATCAATCACTGGGCAAACCGGAAGGCGATGCTCAAGACAGATGCCAGAGGCGACTCTCTCCTTAAAGCAGCCACAGTTCCTGCAATGAAGAACAAGTTCACACAAGACTTCGGGAAGATACCGCCTCTAACATAAGGACAGGTAGTCCCTAGAGAAGCCACAGAACCCGGCAAAAGTAAGTTAAGCCACCAGATCCTTGCAACCCGCCGCCCATTTGGAGAGAAATCAAGCTGCCAAGCACAGAACCAAGCTTCAGGTCGGTTTCCTCACCAGTATATACGAGTCCCTCCAGAGTTTAGCAGGCTGACTCAATTTAGGTTTAATTTTAATTTTTCATTCATGAATGCATTTATTTATTATTGCAAATGCTTATTAATGCAAACATTTATTCAACAAGTAGCACATGTCAATTAACTTTGCCCAGTCCTTGAGCATACAAGGATGGGTAAGGTTTGTTATGTCTTGTTGTGACTCTCGTACTCTAGTTATATTGTGTATTGTGATTGGGGTCATGGAGTAAGCTGGTATAATAAGGAGGTGAAAACTTTCATCCTTCCAGCTACCTTATTTTGTTTAAATTTGACCTTGAATAAACAAATAAAAGTCTCCTGGTTCACAGTACAAGGATGGGCACTGAAAATTCTCCTCTCCACCTGTCTTCCAGCAACCCAGTCATCTCCTCATGGTCAGCTAATGTTAATGGTTTCGGATTGAATGCTTGGGAACATTTTCATGAACATATGTGAATATGTCCATGTTTGTTTACCTTATATAAATTAAACAGTATTAATGGCTGGGGTATTTTTTATATTGGTTTTTAAAAACACATTCCTTTTTCTGTTACTGTTATTATTTTGTTTCTTGTTTTGAGGAAGTTTCTCTCACTATGCTTCTCAAACTTCCAGGCTTATAATTCTTCCGCGTAAGTTTCTACAGCAACTGGTTTATTCACTTTAGAAAGGTTCCATTCTTTCTTCTTCATAACTGAGTATGGAATTATGGTTTCAATGTGTTCTCCTCAAAGTTCATTCCTGGGTGTTCTAGCCCCCAAGACCCCAAAATACAATCTGATTTGGATCTAGGGTCAGTTCAGGTATAAACAATTGAGTTGAAGTCATAGTGAAGAAGGTTAGCACAGTGTAACTGGTTTCTGTGTAAAAGATGGAGATGAGCACATCCACAAATGCAGGCAGGGTACCGTGAAGACAAAGAAAGAGACTGGGATGACGTGTCCACATGTGAAGGATCAACTAAGCTAAGTAAGAAGCGTGGAATAGATTGTGTCAATAGGCCCCAGGAAGAACTGCCCCTGGACTCTGTTAAAATTGTGTGTGTGTGTGTGTGTGTTAGTCACTTTTCTGTCACTATCACACACACCTAAGTTAAATCAAATAATAAAATTAGGGGAAATAATGGTTTAATTTAGCTAGCAATTTCAGAAGTTCTAATCCATGGTTGCTTCACCTTGTTGCTTTAGGCCTGTGGCAGCATAGTATATCATGGTAGGAATATGTGGTATAGGGAAAGCTGACTACCTTGAGTCAGCCAGAAAGCAAAGAGAGACAGGAACGGCTTGGGGTTTCAGTACCCACTCACAGGGCACATTCTCAATGACCTAATTACCTCCATTAGGTTCAGCCGCCTTCTAATAATGTCACAGTAATTAAGCCTGCAACACATGAGTCTCTTGAAGATATGTTGGACACAAAATATAGCACCATGGCTATGCCACATGGTGAGTGTCTAGAGCAGAACTTCTGAGGCAAAGACTATGTGCACATGAATCCATACTGCCCAGGGTCTTCCCTAGAGGCTTAGCCAGGACCTCCCGACCCACACAGCCAGAAGAATGGCTTTCCAGCCAGTATGTTATCAAACTTAGGGACCTGCCATTTTGATAGGAGAAAAAAAGGTGTTTCTGTAAAGTTGGGTTTGCATTGTTTGAAAAAAGTGGATGAGTGTATTGCTGCATATGTGTGTGGACATGAACTGTGTCCATTCCTGGCGTCTGAGTAGACCAGAAGACTGGAACTGGAGTTACAAGTGGTTGTGAGCTGCTACGTGGGTGCTGAGAATCAAACTCCGGTCCTCTGCAAGAGCACCAAGCGCTTTTAATTTCTGAACCATCTCTCCAGCCCAAGGTTTGTACTTTTTATGAGTCATTGGTAGGAGCTTTCTTTGAAACCAGTTTTCCAGGGGGGTTGCTCATCTTCCTTATGATTTTTTAAAAAACTCCTTTTGTTTCAGGGGAAATGACCCTTTGTGATGTAAGATGCAAATGTTTTTCTTAGGTAGTAATTTGAATGTTTATTTTCCTTGTGGTGGTTTTCCATAAAAAGTATTTGACTTTCGTGTGTTTGAGTTTGCTATTCTTTATTTTTCCACTGTTTATCTTTTGTGTTATAATAAAAAAGAAAAGTATTTCCATATTCCAATTCGATCAGAAATTTTCTGTGATTGTTTTCCTAATTCTTATGTGGAAGTGGTAGTGATGGTTAACGACTGTGCATTTACTTCTATTTATGACAGGGGTTTGCTGTGTTGCCCAGGTGAACCTTGATACCCTGGGCTTAAGTCAGCTCACTGCTGCAGCCTTTTATGTGTCTGAGACCACAATCATGTACCTTCCTCAGCCCCACTCCTGGCTCATGCATGCATCTAACACTTAAAAAAAATTTATGTCAGTAACTTTGGCTGGTATGAAGACTGGGGTTTAAAGAAAAAGCATTTTTTGAAATGCTTCCCAATTGTTCTGAGCTATCTTCCTCACACTGATTTGAAATATGACCATCATATATTAAGTGTGTACCCTGTGCTGCTCTATAATTAGGGTTTGTATGCATGCCTTGGAATTATGCCCGCTTAATTACTGATATGTTTTAGTGGTCTTCCTCTCATCGCTAGCTGTTTTTCTAAGACATTTTCTGACTAGAACAAGCAAAGGTCTGCTCATTTTCCACATGAATTTCAGAATGAAGGGTGGGTTGCAAAGATGGTTGTTGCTGTTTGCTCTGGGAGTCATTACAGAGGAGAAAAAGGGCATCGTTCTGATCCCAAGTCATTCCTCTCATTTGAATGCAAGAAACTTTGCACAAGTGCAGTTGCACTTCTGTCTTCCAAAACGGTGCAAAGTTTCTTCATATAGGTCATGCACGTGCATTGTTGGTTCCCCATTTCATTTTTTTTGCTTTGTTTCTATTGTAAATGTACTTTTGCTTCATTTATTAGAATTATAGTTTATACATAAGGAAACTATTGCTTTCTTTGTGTTAATTTTGAAAACACATACTTTACAGTGTTGTCTTATTGTTTACTCTGGTTTTCCAAGTTAACTCCTTTGGGCTCTATAAAAATAAAATCGTGTTATCTGGAACTAGGATAATTATACCCTTGCTTTGCAATGTTTATATCCTATTTTTTTCTTATGCAGCTGCAATGGGAAATAATGATAGTAATGGGCAACATCTTTTTCTGGCTCTTTGAATGTTTTCAGTGTTTCCCCTGTTACATTTATAATAAGTGCCTCAATCCCTATTGTTCTTATTTTAGGACTCTTTAAAATGTTTTGTCTGTTGATCCAGTAATTCCTCCTTTTGTCAACCATTCCAAGAAGATTCAGGAAAAACCTTTGCCCAGTATTGTTTATTACAGAACTAACTTATTTTTTTAAAGACTTAATTAGGAAGTACCTCATCACTGAACAAGAAGAGAATAGTTAATGAGATTCTAACTCAATAGAACATCACAGAAAATAGTAGCATCATGGGAAATCATAATGTATAACATTTTTAAAAATCACTATAAAAGTGCATGCATAGTTTGATTGCAACGCTCTAAAAAATCCATTCACTGGTGGTAGAAAAGGAAAGATAGCACACATAGTTAGAACAGCACTGTGGAGACAGGCAGGTGGATCTCTGTGAATTCAAGGCCAGCTTGGTCCACATAGTGAGTTCCAGGACAGCCAGAACTATATAGTGAAGCCCTGTCTCAAACAATAAGGAGACTCTTTACAAAGATGTTAGTGGTGGTTGTCACTAGGTAATTTTCCTGTTTTTTTGTTTGTTTTTGTCACCTTGACACTAGCTGGAGTCATCTGAGAGGAGGGAACCTCAATCAAATGATGGACTATGGCGGAGCAATGGTGGAATATGCATTTAATCCCAGCACTCAGCAGGCAGAGGCAGGCATATCTCTGTCAGTTCGAGGCCAGCCTGGTTTACAGAGCGAGTTTCAGGATAGCCAGAGCTGTTACACAGAGAAACCCTGTCTCAAAAAACCAAAAATAAAATAAATGATGGACTACAAGCTGTAAGATAGATGATGGGCTACAAGTTCCTTTTGGTCATGGTGTTTTTTTTCACAGCAATAGAAATCTAACTAAGACAGCAACACAATGGCAAATAATCTTTTCTCTTTCCTTCAAATGTTACATGACAAATTGATGTTTTGCTATTCCAGGAAAGGAGATTTTTAAAAAATAAAATTGTAACCAAGCTATACTTGGGCCACACCAAATAAAAATAAATTTGAAACATCACTGTCTCAGCACTCACTGGCCTTCTGAAGATGCACATACATTTCCAATGCACATGTAACATGATTCATGCATGAAATCCCTCGTCTTCTAGTTGGCACATTTAAAGCAAAATGGGGCATCTGAAATTAATTTCAACAATACATTTTATTCAATCCAGTGTGAGACCCACCTCTTCCCAAGGCACTGGTGAGTTCTAAACACTATTAAATGACTTTAAATCTGTTGTAATCACTTATTGTTAACCAATTATTTACACTTGTATTGAAACCATCCCTTCTAGACAGACTTTGTTGACTCCCCATGGGAGGCCTTACCCTCTTTGAGGAGCTGATGGGGGGTAGGGTGAGGGAAAGATGGGGGGAGCAGGAGAAGGGGAGAGAGGGGGAACTGGGATTGGCATGTAAAAAAATAAATAAAAATATGAAAGAAAAGAAAGCATCTCTTCTAATATTCAACTCCCCGTAAATAGACATATATATTGGAGGATGGGGGCAACAGGATTCCTTAAGTAGCAGCAGTCTAACTTTCCCTGGCTGCACTTTCTGCCATGTCTACCTTGAGCAAAAACATTCTGAGTCTAACAGTCAAGTTGATTGGCCTTATACCAGAGCGGAACACTGCATGGACACCTTGAGAAAAGTAGAGCTGGTTGGGCCAGGAAGCCCACACCAGAACTATTTGAAACTATCTGTACTGGTGTTTTTGCTGTCTCTAGA